TTCATTCAATGAGATCTTTAATAAATCTCATGAGCTCATCAACACTCTTAAGCCATAAAATGTCCCTCTCAAACATCTCTATAAATGAACGAAACGCCAATAAAGGTAGCAGGCATGCTTCACAATCCAGCTAAACTAGTGCCACACCAAAACATCCTCAAATCTCCATTCGAAAAATGAAGCTTTTCTAAAAGCTGAATGAATTTCCTCATAATGGTCCTGAGTCTTTGTTGTACAGTAAATGTGTGCAGTTCATTACAGGAAGCAACCGCTGAGCATTTATACTCAAATCCAACAAACTGGTGGGGCTTAACTGCTCCTGTGGCTAAAATTAAACTGTCAGATGGAGACGGCAATCTAACCTCGCCGGGTTTCAGCTTCTCAGTCTGTGACGTGAAGGTGAAGAGGGTTTTGTATCTGCACAGGGCTAGACGCAGAATAGAGAAATCAATTGATAGTTCGGGAACAGAATTAAATCAGACTGGAAATCCTGCATGACTGTATATAGAGCTCAACCACCAAATGACCAAAAAGCTCCATTATGCCTTATTAAGCTACTTCCTGTATGAAACAAAGCAAATGGTACAACGAGTTAACATCAAAAATGCTTAGGTTTTTGTTTTTGTGCCTTTCTTGATTAGATTAGACGCTGGGATTCCTCTAATGTGCAGATAGCAGTTCGATATCAAAGGCTCGCTTAAATACAGCATCTACAAACTAGATATTGACATTTTCTGAAGAAACGGTGAGTGGTGCTTACCCAAGAAAGTTGCTGCTATGCGATTGCTGGGTTGTTCCTGGCAATAAAACAAGTCTGATCACTGCACAGTTTACCACTTAACATTATCGAAAGTGAGCAATAGTAATAGTGATGTATTTGCCTTTGCCTTAGATGAAAATATTCTGATGAAGAACACCTTCTCTTTGCCCTGTGAACTCTGTCTTTTGCAGATAACAGCTGACATCCATTAAAACGGATGTCAGACAGAGACCGCACAGACCAAGTCATTCGCATCTCGTCAAACGACATTCAGAAAAGATAACTGACATGCTTTTAACTAAACAAATAACTTTTTATCCAAATGACTTGAGATTCAAGTCAAAACGCTCGGCACAATTGGCCTCCGAGAGTCAAAGGCTTTGTTTAAAGTCAACATGAAATGACATTTGCAACCCATTTTACTTTCAGGATATTTAACATGAAAAAAGCAAGGCAGGGTATTAAGATGCGTTGCCGTTTACACCTGGTGTTTTGATCCTTCTCTTTTGTCCAACCACTTCTGTCCTGATTTTTTTCGAGGAGAGGGTCTATGGGTGGGTAAATGTATGGGCTTTTTTTTTTTTTTTTTGATCTTTCGATATAATGGACAAAATAAGTTTGCACAATTTACATATAGACATATAAAAACATACGAAGAGCATCAGTTTTAGGGTGTATTCACACCAGGAAAGTCCGATAGGACCAAATAATTTTGTTTTTTTGGTACGGTTCGCTTTCACACTGCTCTTTTTGCAAGTGAACCAAAATTTGTAAACAAAACCACACGTGTGCTAAGGTCGTCCATTCATTGGACAAGGATTCTCAATTAGGGAAATCAGGAAGTGCAAAAAAGGCTCAGCATGAAGATATTTCGTACTGCAATATTTGTTCTTTTACTAATTTTGTGTTATTCTGTAAAAACGCAATATGAAGAAACTAATGAGTATCATATGATACAATGTCATATACGATGTTGTAATTCGGATTTTGAGAAGACGACGATGTGCTGCAAGACGGTTCGGGCGGAGAGAACATGCTCTCATACAGGCTACAACAGATCACTTTCCCATAACGCAACTCCGACTACGGAAGCCTTTTAACTCAAAGGCGCAGTGCTTTCTGCAATTGGGTCGGTTCATGTTCACACCGTAAACGAACCGTACCAGAGTTCGTTAGGAACCGTACCGAGACCACCTCTTCAGCTGGGTCTCGGTTCGGTTGTTTGGTCCGCACCCGAGTGCGATTGCTGTATTCACACCTGCCCAAAAGGTCCGCACCAAGGGGGGAAACGAACTAGAGTTCGATTCAATCAAACCAAACAAGGCAGGTGTGAATACACCCTTAGTTTCTGCTCTGACAACCGAGAGACCACCCGAACGCTGTGAGTGTGTGTCAGAAAACAGGAATGGTGAGAGAACATTGTGCTTGGTACGGTTTTCATCTTCAAACTAAACTTGGGTCTCCAGCCGACAAAGTTTAAATCCTGTCTGGCTTCCCATAATGTTTAAGCATTAGGTCAGTAGACGGAGACTGTCTTTTGTGGCTGTTTGAACAGATTCGACCACATGAACGTTTACACTACGAAAGCAATCCGGTCAAATGCGCTTTCGACTACCTCTGGAAGTGGACTAAAGTGGACAAGCTCAAAACGTTTTTGACCCCGTTTACACTTAGCGTTGTCCTCTTGTGATCCGATCGACCTTAATACCAGGAGTAAACACAGTCTAAGAGACTGAAGCTCGCAGAGAACAGAGTTTCATCTTTACCAACTGCCATCACCATTATCATTTTCCTCATTAGCAGCTCCACCTGGTTCTTTGTCATTAACTTGTTTTAGTAAAGGAACAGACACTTCTTCATGGTTGGCCAGAACTCTTGGTACTACAAAAAGCATCTTTACTGCTGGTATTTGTTCAGCACAACTACAGCAAATACATCCAAATCACTGCTTCTCTGATGATTGAAGCTATTTAGTGAAGCAGATATGGCCTGCTGAGATAGGAAGATATAATCTATATAATATGGTCTAATCTGATATCATAGTCTAGTCTTAAAAGATTAATATCTGAAAACAGAATGAGCAGTTAACTGGCTCATCGTGATCAGATTATGTCGTTTTGATGGGATACTGACATCGGAACCTATTTTCCCTCCATTTTCGATATCTAACAAGAACCTTTTAGGAGCACGTTTACACAACAATGATGTACTAAAAGTGGAAAAGTTTTTCCTTTGCATTTTTGAACATTTTCGCGTACAGACAACAATGTTCGTCAAAACGATCCCTGTACACATGGATCTGCAAAAATGACTAAAAAACGCTGTATTCTGCTGCCAGGCCAGTAGTTGGCGACGCCTAGACTGAACATGTAATACGCACAGCTTCACAAATTTGTGTATAGTTTACATGAAGATGATAATGGTATCGTTTTCAAAAACTTGCACTTTGAAACCCATTTTCAAACGTTTGCATTTTCAGGCCCCCGAAACGCTGTTGTCATGTAAATAACCGGCTAAAACATATAAAAATGTTCTGTTTTTAGTTGAAAACAAATCATGTAAATGCCTGTAAATATCAGTTTATGCAAGTTAGGGACTACAACAAATGTTATGAATTGCAATTTAAAAATTAGGTCATGAAGCTAAATAATGCACATGCTGATAATTGTGTACACCCGAAATCTGATCACGCTGTTTTGTAAGTAATGAATCAATGAATCAATCTAAATTGTGCCCATAAGAATCAGTGCATGTAGCTATTATGTGCAATTATGCTGAAGCACTTGCTACAAGTCACTCTCATAAATGAAACAAAGAAACGGAGGGTTAAAACGCTCCTGGCATGGAAACAGAAAATGGGCAGAAACAACCAACTCTCGAAATATCAAAGAATCTATAATGTCATTTTTTAAATTTGAGTATGTTTAGGACAGAATTATTCCTTAAAAAGGAGATTCATGCATGTTGATATCCACAAAGACTTTCGGTTATGCTTACACAAAACAAAAATAGCAAGCTGCATTTCACAACATTTGTGCACCTTATATAATCCACTGTTTTTGCATAATAGAAATACCTTTTAGCAAGCAATTTATGCCATAAAGAAATGCTTTATCTTTAAATATTGTGACATAACAGAGTAAATGGTAAGAGCTCTATTCACCAAGTAACCTATTGCCACAACAAAGCTGAATCCAGGAGAACTGCTCTTGTGAGCTCTGGCTCTCTACTCAAAAGCATCCCATGCCTTTCCTATCAATTATTGAGGAACCTATATTTGGAACACACACAAAAACAGCAGCTGCACATCAAAACAAAAGCATTGCGTGGCTATAAATGCAACCTCTATCATTCAAAACGGTTCTTGGGTCCTTAAGGAACATTTTTATGCTAGCTAATCTCCATCTTGACTGAAGCTCTTTGTCCTATCTTTGCTCAAAAAGATGCTCGTATCTTAATCTTATATCTAACATTGCACTAAGCATAAAGGCTTGATGCTCCCAACAAAGATATATAGGGTATAATAAGGGAATGCATGTGGAGTGAGTGGCGCAATTAAATTATCCAATTACTGGCAACCTGATAATGGTTTCAGTGTGCTGTATTTCCAGGAAGAGCTAACATAAAACACTTAATGTCTGTCTGGGGCCGAATATAAGGCAAAGCGTAGCAGAGAGAAATAATGAGATTTCATTCACATGTGTATGGGTTGGTTGCATTGTTATTGTTGCATTTTTGCACTACCTACAATGCCTTAAAAATAACAAATCATAATGAATAATACAAACATATTAATATAATATACATTAAATTCTGTTTTCGAATATGCTACATTTACTCAGATATTGATGTTTGGGTGCATTGTTATTGTTTTACCTGTAGTATAATGCTTGTTTACAATTTTCGGGTATGGTACGTAGCCTACGAATTTTAAAATATCAAGTATATGTATTAATGGTGATTATTAACTATTAATTGTTTAAAACGATCAAAAATAAATGTATGTAAAAGAACTGCTTTGGTTGTTAATTTCACTTATGTATTTATGCATCCCTATATCATTTGTTGATCCACTTCAGCTAATAAACCCGTTTGAATATATACTTCATTCTAGTGGCCATCAGCTACCCAAACGCTGTGCGCTATAACGCATCCGTGTTGCTCAATGGAACAGGTTCTTTCACGCGCAGCCAGTGGAGGTGAGGATGGTGGACATGTCGTCTCTTTCCACGTAGCCTACCTCAACAATGAAGGTCCTCTCTTCTCCACAAACAGACACGACCCAAAAGAGAATGTGGAAATAGCATGTTTCCAACAGAACCCGGGGAGTCCCGTCTTTCGCCCCCTGGCTCCCACCCCCGCCATGACTGTCCCCGAATTCCCCCCACCGTCCGCCGTTGATTTCCAGGCTTGTTTCTTGTGTATGGTCTTTGTTATTTCAGAAAAACAACGAGAGTCCTATATTCCTGATGGTGCTTTGAGAGTTTCTTCTCAGTCGAGCGTTAAATTTGCAAAGCCATTTTGTGTTGCGTCTCCTCAAGGTGGTGCGTTAAAATGATGCTGCGCCGCTGATGCGCTCGAGCGAACGCAGCACCGTCAGCGCGCACAGCCCCGCGGAATCCGAGTCATTCAGAGAATCGGTTCTTTTGAACCGTTCGTTTTAACGAATCGTTTATTAAACAATTCGGCAATTAGGCCACATTTACCCATCACCTCCAATAAAAGGGTTTTGGTTATCAAAAAAAGAATAACGCGTCAGGTTATGCTTCCTCTTAACGATTATCTTTGAGGGAGGAATAGGCATATATATACATATATATATATATATATATATATATATATATATATATATATATATATATATATATATATATATAAAGGTTTATTTTTGTATTTTTGCACTCAGCCAAATATATAGCCAATCAGAAATAAATGTTTTTTTTTTTACATAAATGCAAAATAATCGGTAGCCTACATATAAATGCAGTGACGCAGCCTATTATTTATTCATTTTATGAAATATAGCCTACAACTAATTACGTGTTGTCATAACATGTCAGTAATTGCACGTATTTACTGTAGCCTAAGTCTCATGACAATAACAGAGCTTGGTTCGTTCAGAATCGGACACAAACTAACTTAAACAGTAGGATACTGAGTTTAGATTAATTCAGTAACCACGCCAAACAAGTCCATCGACTTAGATTCATTATAAAGAATCAGTTCGTAAGAGTCATTCGTGCAGGAATCGGACCACATCGGAATACATAAATACAATAAGTAAAATGTACTCAATTTTTTGGCATGTTTTTGCACACTATTTAAAGTACATTTTAAAAGTAAAATGCACTAAGTTAAGAAACATTTGAGTAAATAAGTACATTCATCTTAATTTTAGACAAAATGTTTAGTTGTGACAAAATGATCAGCAGTTATGTTGCTTTAGCTCATTTTAATTAAGTCAACTGAACAAGCACTTTCACTTTCATATAATAGATTTAAACAACCACAGAAATGTACTCCATCCATAACCCCTCCCCCCATAGGCCTATATATGGGTTGTAGAGCTACTTTGAATGTCGCAGCCTTTGTGTTCTTCTTTAATACTGCAAAAGAGCAAATTGAGATGATGCAAATCAAATGAAATGCATGAAGCCTACTCTAAAACTCACTCTCATCATGGCCATTTTTAAGCCATTTCATCTGAGATAAAATAATTATTTGTAATTTGCTGGTTAACGTCAATCGTTGCACTGGACTTCAGTGTTATACAGTGTTTAACATGAAAGGTGGTTCAAAAACCTTGATTACCTGACGCAGTGATGCGGTAAATTATGTTCATCTTAACAACCATCTCAAAGGCCAATAGGTGTTCACTGTTCAGGGATCACAGCAGGCTTTGTGTCTGAGGGAAGGGACACAGTAGCGAGGAATGGAGGAATAGGAAGTCAGAGAGACAGGTTGTGTTCTGGGTGCGCTGCTGTGTATCTGGGTCACAGTGTGCAGAGCCTATACGCCAGCCCTGGAGATGCTCCTCTCTGCGGTGTGACAACCACGGATGGAAGCCAGAGCTCCAAGATGAGCAGCAGGGGAGGCCTGATTTCTAACAGTCTCTCCATCTGGAGCTGTGTTAAAGCAGTTAGACACACACATGTTGGGTTTCCATGTTTTATGGGGACATAAGGATTTTTAAACTGTACAAACTGTATGCTTTCTCCTACCCCCTAACAGAAAACTTTCTGCATTTAAAAAAAACATAATTTAGTATGATTTAGAAGCCGGTTTCCTCATGGGGGCCAACAAATCTGATCCCATTAACGTAGAGTTTACCTGAACCACACACACACACGTTTAAAAATGGGGACACTGCATAGACTTCTATAGTTTTTATATGCAGTTATAAATACCATAACCTAACCCTACCAGAAAACTGTATGCATACATTTTTTTTTTTAAAGGCATTTACATTTTTGTGTGTGTGTGTGTGTGTGTGTGTGTGTGTGTGTGTGTGTGCCATTTTAACAAATGAGGATGTCCCCAAGTTTTTGTGGTTTAGCTCACTTCTGTAACAAATTTGTCCCCAAAATATGGTTAAGTATGGTTAAGTAAATATGTGTGTATGTATATGTAAAATAATTTCATATTAATGCAAAATGTGACCCATAATAATTCTAGTTCATATGGACATAGAGCTGGAATTAACATGACACTCAACAACTGCATTCAGCAATAAAAACACAGCAATAAATGTATTTAAAACACCTCATTTTACTAGTGAAGCTGCAATGAAGTCATCGTGGAGTTCCCCTAAAACACATTACCACACTGAACAGTGCGTCTCAGACAAGACAACCAACACTTTCCACCCACTCACCATTCACCAGCCTCCATTTGTAAACAGCATCTGAAGAGAGAGAGAGAGAGAGAGAGAGAGAGAGAGAGAGAGAGAGAGAGAGAGAGAGACAAAAACACTTCCCAAACATTTCCCAAATATACCCTGAATTCGAATCCATATCAGACACACAGAAAATCCCATATTTACTAGGAGAAATGCCCAAATGTGAGATAATTGCTGCAAAATATGTGTCCTCATGCCATGAAATGAGGACAACCAGTGGCATAAATACATGGCAGTGGATAAATAATTGTACAAATTTTCAAATAATTATTATTTTGATTGTTTGATATTTTAGTAATTGTTTTATTTTATTTTTTATTGTTCACTTTTATTTATCTATATGTTTGTATATGTCTATTGCTTTGACAATATTGTGCTATTGTACACATTCATGCCAATAAAGCTAATTTGAATTGAATTGAAAGAGAGAGAGAGAGAGAGAGAGAGAGAGAGAGAGAGAGAGAGAGAGAGAGAGAGAGAGAGAGAGAGAGAGAGAGAGAGAGAGAGAGAGAGAGAGAAAGAGAGAGAGAGAGAGAGAGAGAGAGAGAGAGAGAAGAGAGAGAAAAAGAGAGAGAGATTTTTTTACACTGTTAATTTGTACAATTAATTTAATTTGTACATTTAGATTTAATTATGTTATAATATTTTATTATTTTGATGTCTTTATAATTATTCTATGTATTCCAAGCTTTGGCAATATTGTATGATGTACAGTCATGCCAATAAAGCAAATTTTTTTTTTGAATTGAGAGAGAGAGAGACCTTCTCATCCATCTGTCTCTCACTCTCACACCTCACTTTTCTATTGTACAAATAAGTATGTCATCGTAGGTCATGTTCCTTTGTTCCAAAATGTTCACGGACTACTTCAGACATTTTACAGCGAATAAGTACTGGTTATAGAGTTTAACTAACTAATCAATTGATCTTTAAAGATAAATTTATATTAATAGAGACAGAAGATTGGTCAAGTACTTGTTTATAATATAAGATAATATATAATATTGTCACAGTCAGCCTGTTTGTTTTTGCTTTCATGAACTCTTAGTTTGTATTTACTTGGTTAGCTGTTTTCCTTTGACTCCGCCTCTGCTGGATCCCTGCAGCCCTTGGTCTCCACCATCAGCCCTGATCCGCCGGTCCTCCCCGCTGTCAGCTCAAGTGTCCACCTTGGCTATTCCCTTTATCATTTCCACCGTGGGTCACCTCCTTCCTGGCCGTCTCCTGGGTCTCTCTAAACTCTCATTGGCCGTCGGATCCTCCACGGATTTTTTACCACCATCCATTCCTCCACTTCCACCATCTCCTCCTCCATGGCTTCTCCCACCATCTCCTCCTCCAAGGGTCCTTCCACCGTCTACTTCTCCATGGCTTATATTTTATTTTATTTCAGCTTTATTTCAATGACCAAAAACAATGCTTAATAGTTTTAGTTAGTTAAGGATAACACCACTGAACAACTTAAATGATGAGGCATTTTATTGTGGAGACAAATTGTTTTTAAAATGCAAAGCTTTATTAGCATGGCTTTCTTGATGCTGAAGCATTCAGAAATAAACAAAAGGTTGGAGCTGGTATCACTGCTGACATTTAAGAAAGGTCACCACAATGCTGAAAGGGCAGTTAAACATATAACGTTGATTCAGAACCAGTCATGAAAGCATAAGTAATAAGAGAGTAATGTGCATATACTGTATCTTCAATTGATCAACGTTATCTTTACATCTGTTTTAAAGATTGATCCAAAGTCTAAGCCCAAAGCCGTGTATAGGTAATGAGAGACATGACTCAACATGCCAAATGGGATCAATAGACTGATTCAGGACCCCTGTGTCCGGATGCACTTCAGACACTTAACATTGTTTGTGCGATGACGAACCTGGCATTGGTTGAGCAGTTAAACGCATTTTGTGTGTCTATTGGTGAGTCATCTTTGGTCTGGGAGACATTAAACTGATTTCATGTTCCAAAACAATTGGAGTGAAAACTAATCAAGCCAATCTTTTCTTCATGTATTCCTTTTGGGGCCGTAAAGGTCATCGGGAGCTACAAAGCTGCCACTCATCAGCAGGTCCGTCAGTCTTATGGTGGGTGTTATTCATCAGATAAATCAATGGTTTCCTGTAATCCACAATTAGATAAAGAGACAAACCATTGGAAATGTAGAAAGCTGTAGTTTGAGAACTGCCGGTGTGCACATATGCTACAATCCTGCCTAATCCTGCTTTACAACTGTGCCTTTCTGCAGGAAACTAAGCCATCAACAGCTTCAGATGAGCTCTGGGAAAATGATCCTTATCCGCTGGTAATTTCAGGGAAATATGGAGGCCATTGAGTCTTAAATTTCAGATCCTATTTGCTCTTTATGGACATTCTTGAAATGATGGTCCAACAGTTAACATTAGTTACTGCATTATTAACAAACAATGAACAGCGTTTATTAATGTAGGTTAATGGTAACTTATAAATACTCTATTGTTAAAAATGTTTTAGCACACTACATTCAAAAGTTTGTGGTCGGTTTTTATGCATTTATTTGATAAAAACGGATCTTTGCTGAAAGAAAGTATTAACACGGACAGCAAACTTTTGAACGGTAGAGTAGAGGATGTTCAACCTGCCACAGAACCTGCTGACTCATGTTCCACTCATTGAGTCTGTCCTGTGTTCATCTATAACTGTCCGGTTTGGTTCAACCACCGA